TGTTGGAATGAAATGCATGTTTGACCAAAACACAAACTTAATATTTATGTATAAATAACTTTTTAAAGGGCAATGGCAGTTTAGACTCTCATTTCTATTACAGTTTAGATTTTTTGCTTTTGTGAGGAATTGGTTATCAATTCAAATACATTTCCCTCTTAAAAAGAAAGATGCCCACGCCATCACTGCTTTAATCAAGTGTCTTCAAGGGATAATAAAGCTAATTATTTCAAGGCAACACTCTGAGGTCAGTTGGTGAGCTGCTCCTGAGAGAGCCTAAAATTAAGCGGAAGCTCAGAGGGGACCACGCTTTTGCTGCTCCAAAACTCTGGAATGACCTGCCTCAGCACCTCATAAAGGCTTCTTCTCTGACTGTTTAAATCTCTTGTCAAAACCCACCTTTTCACTTTGGCTTTTAACATCTAGCAAGACAGTGGGCTTTATTTTATTTTTTCTCTTTTATTCCTTTTATCTTGTACCCAATTTCATGGATTTGATTGTGTGAATGTTATTTTTAGTATTTTTTTAGTTGTTTCGTTTTCTTATCTGTACTGTTTTATGTTTTATTTATTTATCTTTTTTTTCTGAACAGCACTTTGGTCAGCTGTGGTTGTTTTTAAGTGCTTAACAAATAAAACTGGACTTTAAATGTGTACAATTACACATGTGATGGAAAACAACTGTATAATTATGACCCTGTTGCATGTCTAAGAGAGCAGAGAGAGACCAGGGGAGAATTAATAGCCAAAGGAGAGAGCAATCAGTGGAGCTAGTGGAAGCACTTCACTGTGATAGCTTAGTCCAGCAGCACCATGCTATTTTTCTGAACCACAGACATTCTGAGAGATTTTGAGTGCCGATTTGTTTTCAGAACTTGAAAACAGATTACAGTGCAAAATTTTGTGTGGTAAGTAGTAAGAAACACCAGCTGCTGGTGGATCAATGTCTCTTGCTTTGTGTGCACGCACCACGGCGGTACCAGAGAGAAAAGATCCGGTTTTCTACCCTTTGTTCAAAGTTTCTCCAGCATTCATATTGATCTCAATCACATTCTAATTAGTAACCCAATAGCAACTGGAACACCGGTGGTATCTGATCGCCTCTAAGGAAACAAGTTTTATTCATTTCCGTATCATTGAGCAGAGCATGTACCGTATATTTCAATAATCGATTTATCCAATTAATTGTTTCAGCCCTATATGAAAAAGATGTTTCCTGTCTACATTTTCGCTTTTGATAATAAAAAGTTCAAAGTGAAAGAGTACCAAATCAGTGGGGAATTATTTTACATATGATTTGGATATTTACTTAACCTCTTTCATTAAATGAATTAAAAAGAAAACAAGGCTATAGCCTTATTTCAATTGCTTTTAACAGATTTTCTTTTAATAATCATATACCTCCATATACTTATACTCTCCAAGGTAGGCATAAACTATTTATTTAACATGTTAAAACGATGAAAATATTAAGTTTTCTATTATAAACAAAAATTATTGTGCTTAAAACAGCATTTCCAATGTAATGGTCCTCCTAATAAACGCTTACTCTCTGATCTTCTTCTCTGAACCGTCTGGTCCTCCATCATAAACGCCCTTAGGGAGGTGCTGGATGAGGCCAATTCGCTGAGCTATGCGGATCTGCTCCTCCTCTGTCAGCTGGGTGGCCAGACGGGCCTGGCTGGGTGTCGGGTGGTACATGGGCATGTTAGCCTGCTCCTAGTGGCAGACAAAGAAAAACAATAACACTCATCCAACAAAGAATCTGGTCCAACGGGTCAGACTGAGAGGGGAGAAAAGGAAAATCACAAGAACCGATGCTGACAGCGATGTTTGACTTTACTCAGAGAGAATAATCATGCAAATTACATTTTAAATATCAATTTAAAGTAAATACATTTAAGAAAACCCCTGTGATGTTTGCATAATTACTAGAATAACAACCACTAATATAACTATTAGGTCTATGGGCAGAAAGGAAGTGAGCGTTAGAAAGCAGCTCACCTGGTACGGTGGAGGCGGCTCCAGGTCGGGATCTGTCCCGTCACCGAAACTCGCCCTATCGGACTGAGACTCATGGAGCAGGGAGATGTCGTCGGATGTTGGGGACTTCAGGCAGTTGCCCATTTTCCGTGCCTCCAGTCCTTTTCAGAGCCGACGTTAAAAAGAAAAACACAACTGTGCTGCTAAACTTGATTTGGGTCGGCTAATGTTAGTTTTAGTATCCCAGGAATAATTAACTGCTCAAGTTAAAATCAACAATTACATTCCTGTCGTGGTTATTGAACTTCTACACACATGTTAAATAATTGGGAGTAAAAAGAAAAAAGATTAGCTTCGTTTCATGATTGCACTGAGCTGAGAAACAAAACAAAGAACTCTCCTTGATGAAGCTGACAGCGGTTAGCAATCCAGATAGCTTCTTTAACTGCGCGATTTCCTCAATACGTGACGCTCATTCCTCCTGAAGGCTCACAATTTATATACGGTACAAAGCTCAGCACTAGCTCTGGGTGTCAGTTGAGCTGTCCGAGAGGCAGACTCAAAAAAACATTTACGCCTATCAACTTCGTGAGTACCATCAAACAATTTATTTCCTTGCTAGCTGTTTCTTCTCTATCCTTTTCTTCTTCGTTCACGGAGCATAGCTCAGACGCGATACACCGCCACCTGCTGTACCGGAGTAAAACATGAAACCAGTTTAAAAGAAAAAATAAATGATTTTTTCTTTTTCCTTTATTACTCTAGAACAGGGGCCCTCAGGGGCCTTATGGGGTGCCCTCAGCAACTTCTGAAAACCTGTTGCCCTTCTCATTTATTTATTCTTTGAGCATTTCATCATTTTAATCATACCGAGTAGTTTATACAGATTCTATACAGATTTCAAAATGTGATATCATAGAAGAAACAATAAAAATATGTTTTGCCCTTCCTTCCTTCCTTCCTTCCTTCCTTCCTTCCTTCCTTCCTTCCTTCCTTCCTTCCTTCCTTCCTTCCTTCCAACCTTCCTT